AAATAATAATATAAATTCGATGCAAAATGTATTAATAATTTTCCTAAATTGTTTTTCTTATAATTTAACAAATATTATAAATATAAATTAATAAAATTAAACAACAAATTTCAAGAATAATTGCGTGATTAAAGTAACTTAAAGTATCTTTATTACCTTAGAGGAATATAGTAATTATTTGTGGAATTCCCATTTGGTTTTAGGAATTAATTCTAGTTTCGCTCTACTTCGTTATTTAAGCTTATGTATTTATAAATATAAGAAACAAATTTAAAAAATATGTCCTCGTTTGAGAATAGCAGAAACGAATTAAATATCTTTATGCATATCATTATTCAATATTTTATTACATTTCTAGAATGTTTCTAGAAGATGAAATATTGTAAATTCATAATTTACAATTCTGAAAATATACTTGATTATTTCATTATTTGAAGTATTTTCTTTTGAAATTAATCTATAGATCTTGTTAAATTATATTTCGCGATTTTTATTTGCTCTTTTATTTTTCTATTTGTTAAAACTTAATCGAAGCATTTAACAGAAAGAAAAATAATTAAGATTTAGTTTTAAAAAAGCTAAAAAAATTTTTACCCCAATTAATGGTAAAATTTCTAGAATACAATTGTATAGAAGTTCCTAATTTCTAAAGCCTATTGCGGATTTTTTCGTTTCTTTTTTCTTTTTTTTTTATAGGAATTAAGATTAACTGTAAAAAGAATTATTGGATTAACTTTTCTTATTCAACTTTTAAGAAAAATTGCTTCTTAACGCAATTTGATGGCTGTATAAGACTTTAAAAATACAAGATAGGTTTTTTTATTTTTTCTTTTTTTGGTGTGTGTATTGTATGTCTTCTGGAAATACTAGAAGATGCCAACAGGGAAAAAGGATAAAGTTTACCTAGGATTACCATAACCAAATAATAAAAAAAGAGGACATCTAAGAAAAGTTTTATCAAGAAAGTTATATAATATAAATATCTTATCTTTACAAATTTTATTTTATAACGAAAAAAATATCTATAATTTCAATCTTGTTTTTGTTTCGATCTTTTTATTTTTTATATACATTTTAAAAAAATCTATACAGACAAAAATTTTACGTTAAAAGAATGTCCGGGAAAAAGTGGACATATAATAACCCTAGTATATCACGAACAAAAATCAAATCTGGACACTTGATACAAACATCTTGCTTCCATTCCAACGGTCCTTCAATATCTTGCTGCTTTTATTATGGGCTTGGAAAAAGCCCCTAGATGCTCATAGGAAAAAAAGAGTTTTTAAAAAATGATACAAGAATGCTCTGCTCTAAATTTTTTTTTCTTATTATACAATTTTATATTGAAATAAATAAATTTTTAAAATATTTTATGTTATTAAAAAATTCTAAACTTTAAATTTAAAAATTTAAAAGACTTCGAAATCTAAAACACATAAATTTTTTTAAATGTTTTAATTTAAAATGGTTCAAATTTCACTATATATAATACATTAAAAGTATTTTACTTATCTTTATTTCTTTAATAAAATAAATAAATTTTATTGATTATCTTAATTAAAAAGTTTAGAATTATTCTCTTTTGTAATTTAAATGAAATGTAATCAGATCATAATATTGTCGGAATTTATGAATTTTAAGTTATAANGTTTACAGTGGTTAGCTGCCTTTGGGCTACCCTATATATTTTTATTTATTTATTTACCTATAGACTATAAGTAGGCCTAATATACCGTAGTTACAGGTTTCCGTAGGTACTAGGCACTCTTGTATTCGACCCCTAGCCTCGCCCCGACGTACCGCTAGAGACAGAAAGGCATTACTGCATTCCAAAAACTGTTCCATTGACCTCAGTAATATTTTTGACGTATTCAAGTTGATCCCCACTAAAATTTTTACATTGACTATTCTCATCAAAATAATATTTGCATATTCAGCTATAAAAATTAAAGCAAAACTCGCTCTTATGTACTCAACATTAAACCCAGAAACCAACTCAGACTCTCCTTCTGTAAAATCAAAGGGAGTTCGATTAGTTTCTGCCAAACAAGAAGAAAATCAAATAGCTAAAAGGGGAAACATAAATACTCCAATAGAACTAAATATTTGATAATTATTAATTTCTTTAAAATTAAACGAAGAAACAAGAAGAAGAACAGAAAATAAAATTAATGCAAAACTCACCTCATAAGAAATAGTCTGAGCAACGCCTCGATAGGCCCCTAAAATAGCGTATTTAGAGTTTGAGGCCCAACCAGCAACTAAAATCGAATAAACTCTTACTCTTGAACAACATAGAGAAAAAAGGACTCCTCATTTTAAGTCCATAAAATGAAATAGAGATGGGTATAATAACCATAAAATGAGCGCCATAGACAGCCCAAAAATAGGTGAAAATAAAAAGGGGTAAAGGTTGTAAGTTTCTAGGTTGGCTAACTCTTTAACAAATAGTTTAGAGACAGAAAGGCATTACTGTATTCCAAAAACTGTTCCATTGACCTCAGTAATATTTTTGACGTATTCAAGTTGATCCCCACTAAAATAGTGTATACAACACACAAGTGTCCACGTCGTTCTTCTCTGGTAGTTGGCCTGGTACTGGGAATGGGAATGTGTAGGCCAAGCAATGTGGTTTGTGCGNGACTTTATCACATACCCTAAAGTATTTAATAAGGTTGCATATTGTATTGAAGGTTATATAAGTGTATACATTTAGCATTTATGTACAAAATATATATACACTATATAAAAATGCATCGTCATACTTGCCAATCTTAGATTATAGATGATGCTGACTTAATTAATAACTAGGAAAGGCTGATTTTGAATATAAAACACTTGAAACTTGCGGAACTTTTATAAGCTTTTATTCAATCTTGATATTGATTTTTCTTACTGGATAAATTACGACTAGTAAAAAAAAAAAAATACATTTTATTATACTGTACTGTACATAATAAATATTATATAAAATGTTGCTTTTGTCTGTTCGTAACATTATCAGAAAACTTTCCAGCTGCAAAAACAAAATAACGTAATATGTTATTCATTTTGTTACCTATATAATCTATTTGTCTTACAGTCACGGGCAATTTCACTTCTTAGTCGATAAATTTATGGCTTTAAAAACTTATCTTAATTATTTTGCTTTCTAGCTTAGTGACTTTGGTTTATGTAATGTTCGTTATTTCAATTAATTTACATTACGGTTTATTTTCAGAATCTATAGGCCTGTGTAGTGTACTTAAAGTTTAGATTATGTATAAATACTTAGCCAATTGTTTGAAAAACTTGAAAATACTGTATATCAAAATCTCAAATCAACTGATACAGTATTAGTAACATTTAGTTTATATTAGAAATCAGTTTTAATAATCGTTAAAAATAATTAACTAGAATAAAGCACGTGTTTTATGTTAAAATTAAGTTTCAATTATACAAAACGTTTCAAAATCAAGCCACAGACTGAATAGCGACGGCCGGCAAGATTTCCAGTTTAAATACTCGATTCCGACACCGTCCGATATCGATACTTTAAGATCGAAACCGATACTGGTATCGATATTTTTGTGGTATCGGAGAGTCCCTGCCCCTAAGTACGTCAGTAGGCCAGTAGTTAACCTTATTCACAAATATACGGAATTATTTTCAGATAATTTTGTAATGACTGGGGAGAAAAGTAAACGAGGGGGCAATCTTACGTTATTAAAGACTCACCCCCATCGATATCAATTGTCAGATACAAATGGATCCTGGACTCATAAACTTCTGATGTAATACTTGAATTGCTCTTTGATGTAAGAACTGCTACTGACACAAATGAAGAAAAATTTAATTATTCACTATGATCACACGATTTTAAAAGGTGAAGTTAAATGGATTAAGTGTTGCTTTTTGGCATATTTGACAATGTTTTTACTAAATTATCTTTTTTGTTTCAATGTATAATTTACAGATTCCAGTGGTCTCAAGGTGCTTTCTAAGTCAGAAAATTCTCCATGAAGAGTAACTTTTACACTTCCGGTAACGTCTTCTGCATTTTTCGCGCGGAATAATTTTATAATTATTTGATAATGAAAAACTGTAACAATAAAGATAATTCTTATTCCATTTTTCAAATATAAATTGAAAATATTGTAATATTCATTAAATAACTTATATTTACGGCAATAAGGAACTCGTCCACTAGTCTTCAGGTAAAGCTTCAAATTTGTGTGATTAAATCGTTTAGATTCTATAGCTCTAGGACCCATTATAGCACATTGGCTACCGTCTGGTCCGCATTCAGCACATTTGCCTTCTAGAAAAGTGTTCCAATTTGAACATCTGTATCCAACAGAAACACAAGAACCGTAATTGATTGTACTGGTAAAGAAATCCACTGCCCTTTGATGGTTACAAGCAACGAATCTTCGACCACCTACGTNATTAATTAATTTGATTTACATTCAATTATGACGTACCGACAAACAGAAGTAGTATCTTACTTGCATGTGCATTGAAATCTAGTTTGAATAATAACGTCATCTACGGTTCATATTGTGACGTCTAATGATGGGAGGCGATCTTGGCGCCACTAACTTCTGAATCGGTAGTCCAGTCGTTGATTGGTCGGGTCGTCAACTTTCTTTAACACAGGAAAAATAGGGAGTTGACCGTCTCTGTCTATCTAATCCGTGTCCGGCTCTTGCCGAGTAGCTTGTTCTGCAACCGAGTTACCGTATGGCAACCGGGGGCAAATATGGCATTCAAAATTTTGTTCGTAACCCGAATTGTTCGAAACCTGATGTTTGATTGTATTGCCGTATAAAGATTTATAAGAATAAAACGAAATGTTCATATTCTACGAACATTATAAATTTAAAAAGCAAAGAAACAAACGATTTTAGTTATTGTTTTCAGTGTACACGATTAAAAATTGTTCGAATCGAGCCACTTTCAGTACAAGAACTAACGATTTATTATTATAAAAACTGATTAAAGAATAAAAACCTCACCAGTAATACGTCCTAATCCAGGTAATCTTTCTCCAGCATATCCAGCTATATGAGCACCTAAACTGTGGCCAATTATGTGGACATCGCTTCTCTTCAGACCAACTACTTCCTGTTAAATATAAACTAATTATATTAAATATATCAAATAGTTGCATAGTTGCTACTTCATAGCATAATTTACAGAATTCGCAATCTTTCCGAATAACAATTCTTATTTTTCGAAATACTTTATATTTTATACTATTCAATATTTATCTATGAGTAATTTATTGTGTTTATGAATTAAGAATTTTTTCATTCTGAATGCAGAGATAGATAATTTTATTAAAATCAATATTTGTGATATAAAATATTATCGAATATTCTCTTACAAGTTCTTAGCGTGTTCGCAACCCGCTACAGATTTATGATATTGAATACGTCCGAGGGACTGTACTAATTACATGTCCCTCGAATGTAGACGTTTTTATATTATATGTTTTTATTATCAATATTGTAGAATGTATTTAAACTGAAAGTTTAAAAAGAATTTTAAAGTAGTTTATATTATCAATTTCTCTACTTTTTGTTTTGTGAAGTTTAAATGAGCGGCTTATATATGGATTAGAATATTTCAGAAAAAATATAAAATACTTTTGCTTTTCTGAAATATTCATATCAGATATAACACAATTTATATAACTATACGAAGTAAATTTAGATATAAGAATGTGCAAACAATATACATAAGATAGACAAAAAATTAGACTTACTTCTAAAGTTTCAACCAACAAAGCAATTTCTGCTCCAACAACTCTTGTATTTGATGTTGCTTGTGTATATGGTAACTGATTGCCTCCACTCCAATCGACAATGATCACATTACATCTTTCTTTTAATAACATTTCATCTTTTAAAGCCTGTAACGATATTTACCTAGCATCGTTTAAATTAGGAATATTAACAAGACATCTTAATTCTAAGCTTAAAATTCAGATTACCGTTTGCCACGGTCCGAATAATTCACTGTCGATATATCCATGAATGATGAACTTAGTAGGAAATTCGGGATTAAAAGGTGAAGAAAGGAATTTTTCTTTTTGATCGACACTCAAGTAAAAATGTTCTCTTGGGTGTGTATTAGTATATAGTTTGAACAGAGTGTTGATAACTTCCCTAGGTTGTGGCAATAAATTTATAGGACGACGTTTCCAGTTAAAGAAATCTGAAGTGATTTCGAAGCATCCCAATCCCTTCATACAAACTTTAGATCCAACTGCAAATGTTTAATGTATCAACATATGAATAAAATTTAAAGTTACTTAAATTAATTAATTATAGAATTTTCTGAATATTAAAATAAATTGTAAACAAAATAATCTTAAATTTATCATGATAAAAACAGAAAATAGAACTTAATATTTAACCATTTCTTTAATTAATTAATACAATATTTCTCTATATCAACAGAAAAAAAAAATATA